GGGCGGCCGGGGGGCGGGCCCGGGGGGGGGGGGGGGAGAAGGCTGGCTGCGGGCCACACCCCACCCTCGGCTTTGCCGGAGTCCCGCCCGCTTGCGCGCACTCCCAGCCCACACCAGCCTCGGGACAGCGGCGCGGCTGGTCGCGCCGAGAGCCCCCTCCTGCGCCCTTTCTGCGCCCGGCGATCCGCGCGGAAGCAAGCCGCTCCGGGACACCACAAGACGGGACGGAGCTCTCCGAGGGGGCCCCGGCAGAAGAGACTGGAGCCTTCGCCATCTGGGAAAGTCCGCTCCTGGGCTCCGGAGGAACCGCCGGCTGGTCTCGTTTCGGGGAGGAACCCAGGCGTCCGGGGAGCTCTTGACCGGCACCCGAACCCATCGGGGGGGCAGCCGTGAGCTTGACCTCCCTCCCCCGCAGCCTGAAGCGGGAAACTCGGCTGTCAAATTTCCCTCGAAGTTGCAGGACGCCCGCGTTTGGGGGTTTCCCCTCCCCTACGAGGCTCCGGATGGGACCCCAGAGGACCAGCTCCTCCTCTTCTTGATTGGGGTGGGGTCCCCCCCCTAAGAGCTCGGGAAGGGAACCCAGGCGCCCGGAGACCCTCTTGGCCCGCATTCTTAATACAGGGCTGGAACCGGAGGACTTGAACCTCTCCCCAACTTGAAGCAAAGCAAACTGGCTTTCCGTTCTCCCTATAAGACGCTAGACCTCAGTCTTTTGCTTTTCTGCCGCTGAGAACAGGGGCCCCCTGGTGGGCAGCGCGGCCTCTTCTCGAACCGTTCCAGGCCGTTCCCGGGAGCACCTTGGGCCCCAATCCTCTTCCTTGCTGATTTTGTTTCCTCTCTGAGGAGCCCCAGCTTCCCAGTTCCCGCCTGCGGAGCCCTCCGACCTCTGGAGCCCCCCACCGTCCGTTCCAGACCTCCCAAAGGGGTCCCACCGGCACCGATGCACCCCCCGCCCGCCACCCTGCCCCCCAGCTCAGCGACGCTGCTCCCCAAGCCCCGGTCCATGGGCTGCAGCAACCTCACTCAGCTGCACCAGGATGGCAACCCGGGCGTGAGCTCCTTCATGTTCGCGGCTGGGGTGGTGGGCAACGTGGCCGCCCTGGCCATCCTGGGCTTCCACCGGAAGGAGCTCCGGACCAAGACCTCCTCCTTCTGCATCCTGGTGACCGGCTTGGCCGTCACGGACTTGCTGGGCACCTGCACGGTCAGCCCCATCGTCTTCGTGGCCTACTCGCGCAACGCCACCCTGGTGGGCATGGTGCAGGGGGCCAGCTGGCTGTGCAACTTCTTCGCCTTCTGCATGATGTACTTCAGCCAGGCCGCCATGATGATCCTCTGCGCCATGGCGGTCGAGCGCTGCCTGGCCCTCAGCTACCCTTACTTCTACTCCCAGCACAACATCCGCCGGTGGGCCAAGCTCTCTCTGCCCGCCATCTACCTCTTCAGCGCTTTCTTCTGCAGCCTGCCCTTCCTGGGCATCGGGAAATATAAACAGTATTGCCCGGGGACGTGGTGCTTTGTGGAAATGGACGTGGACAAGACCGGGGTGGACAAGTCTCGCGAGGCGGCCTTCTCCTTGTCCTACGCCACCCTCACCGCCCTCCTCATCCTGGCCATCTTCATCTGCAACGGCATGGTCATCCTCAGCCTGTGCCAGATGTACCGCAAGCAGAAGGCCCGCCGGCGTGGCTCCGTCAACGTGGCCCAGCAGCGGCGGCGCAAGAGCTGGTTCAGCCGGGGAGAGGAGGAGGTGGACCATCTCGTCCTGCTGGCCCTCATCACCGTCATCTTCGTCATCTGCTCGCTGCCCCTCACGGTAAGAGCAAAACTCCTCCTTCGGTGGGTCGTGCGGGGTGGTGGTGGTGCTGGTGGCCCTCCAAATCTTGGTGGGTTGCAGCTCCCTGTGATGCCCCTCTGGCAGAGCTCCTGGGGGGTGGGGGACAAGAGTGGGAGTTGTTGTTTAGCAACATCTGGAGAACCACAAGATGCCCAGCCCTGTTCAACGGGGATGCTGGAAATGGTAGGAGATGTCAGTGGCAGTGCGGAAGGAGAGGAGGAACCAGAAAGGAGGCTAGTCCGCCTTTAGATGAGACGACACCCGAGGGAGGGGAAGTGAGGAGGCTTGGAATGCAGAACTTGGGCAAATGATTTTTTTTTTCCCAAACTAGACATCTCAGTGTTCACCTAGCCAGCGTGGCCACCAGTTCTGGCAGCTGCATAGTCTGCAAAAGGCACACCACATCTCGTGCTGGCTGAGTGTCTCCACCTTGTGACCCATGGATTGTTTTCCCAACCCCAAATGCGATTAGCAAAGCAAGCCGCCTACACCATGCCACGGCAGGGCTGGTGGCAGGCCTGGCAAATCCGTGGGTGTTTGTGTGCAGCAGGGGCTGGGTTCTGGGGCTGAGCTGTGCTCCCACGCCAGCCAGGGTTTTACTGCATGAAGGTTTGAAGCTTCTAGTCTTCAAGGGGGCCGCACGCAGGGAGCTTTTTCTTGCCTTTGAAGGATCTGCTGGAAGTGATCTTTGGTGTGAAGCAAAAGCACAGCATAATTGAGAGTCAACACCAGTGGGTTAATGTGGAGCAGTTTTTAAACATAAGACAATCTGCAAATCGCATGACTCTGTATCTTTGGTGTGAAGCAAAAGCACAGCATATTTGAGAGTCAACACCAGTAGGTTAATGTGGAGATAATGTGGAGCAGTTTTTAAACGTAGGACAATCTGCAAATTGCATGACTCTGCCCCTGCCTCTGAGAGGCACACAAGCTATGGAAAAACCCAAGCAGATAATAATTACCATCCCATTTGAGATCTGGATGGGAAACCTGACACACACACACACAGAGAGAGAGAGAGAGAGAGATTTTGAGATTTTGCTGGGTTCCAGTTCTCACCCACCCCAGACAAAACAGGAGGTTTCTTACAGTGTCTGAAGTTTCTAGTCCTCAAGGGGTCAGCTTGTATGGTGGTCCAGTATTCTTAAGAACTGGCCCCTACTCACCTGTCTGTGTGGCTAAACCTCCCTTTTGCTCAGCCAGCTCCCTAGAGAGGAGGGGGGCAGGAGTCATACCTGAACAAACCCTGCCAACTCCAGTGTTACAGCAATGAATTATCACTTTTCCCCATTTCCTTCGCCTGTCTACCTGTCTACCTACCTACCTACCTACCTATCTCCCTCCCTCCCTCTCTCCCTCCCTCCTTTTAGTGTTCCTTTAGTCATATTTATAGTCTTTGGTTTATTCCTATACCAGATTAATACCAGCTCTGCCAAAACAACCATCTCAAGGGCTTTGGGCAGCTGTTCCGTTTTTCTCTCTCTCCCTCCTTGTTTATTGGCATCGTAAGAAAAAGGGATGGAAAGGTTACGGATGGAAGAGGATGGTTCGTGCAACCCCTCCTTCCCGTCAGGGTTCTGTGGCTTGTCTCGTGGTGATCAGACAAAGTGGCCGAATTATGAGGACAAAGCCGACTCGGTTCACCCTCGTGCCTTGAACAACGCCAGCTGGAAACGAAGAGTTTCGAGGATATACAGAGAGGAGCAATTTCACCTGCCAGCATTGGCCAGTTGAAGGAACCATTAAAAGCAGAGGAGGAGGAGCTAGGGGGAAATAATTGGCAACCCCAGACGAAGCGCAGATTCCCACCTACACATTCGTAATCAGGAAGTGAGATCTTAATCTGACGGTCATCAGTGCAACATGCACTAGGCTGAAACTCACTTCAACTTCTTGCCACATGAACGTCGTTCTTTCTCTCTTCCTCTTTTGTCATCACTCCCCCCAAAGCTTTGTCATTGCTTCCCTCCCCCCCACCCCAGTTCTCCTCCTCAGATTGTCCAGAACTGCCCCCTGTGAACTTCAGCCTGGCCTTGATGGGGCAGGGCAGATGCTTGCCCACCATGACTCTCTGGCTGGCGTGGGAGAATCGCGCCTCAGAGCCGGGTGGATCAGTCTGGGCGAGAGCCTGGCCCTGTAACACACAAACACACACACACATACCCGAGGCTGCCGGTGCATGTGCAGGCTAGAAAAAACAAGGGGGATCGCTATGAGTCGGCTTGCATTTTTGGGAAGCCGATCAGACGATTGGGCTGGTTCCCAAAGTCTCATGAGAGGAAGCTTACATCACTTCCACTGTGCCCTGATTAGGCAATACCCCGGGCTTGCCAGCTGACAGATCTATTTGTTTGTTTGTTTGCTTAGATTTTTTAAAATCCTACTCATCTAGTGGTGTGCCAGTTTTGAACGGCTGCTTTTCACGGTACACAGGTAACTATTCCCAAGAAGCAGGGCTAGATTTTAAAAGGTGGTCAACGAGGTGTAGGAAAATTGCTGTCTTCTTGCAAAATGTGCATGATTGACTTAGGTATGAGGCATTAAGGATTCTGCCCTCTTGATTATTTATTTATTTAATTCCACACACACACACTGCCCAACCAGCCATGCCATTGAAGCAGTCTACGAATGTACAAACAAGACTAATCAAGAGAAAAATGTTACGATAAAAAGTAAATCGGGCGGACAATGTGAAAGGCCTACATGGAATGGCTAGCTGCCGCTAAAGTAGACCCACTAAATCCATGGTTGAATCAACCCTTTTGTAAATCCCTTTGATTCCAAGAGTCTAGTCTGGCTTACAAATGGTGTTGAGGTCAAATGTTAAAACAACTGGACCTCAACTGCCAAAAATAACACTTGAGCTGTAAGAATGAAAATAGAGACACAATATCTATCAAGGCCTGGTGGGTCTCCCAGAAGAGGAAGGTCTTTGTTCTCTCGTCACCGAGACCTTCAGAACAGCATGCTTGGGCAGGGTAAATCCCATGGTTATCCTAACAACAACCCTGTAGGGTAGGAGAGTGACTGGCCTCGGCTTCTCGAGTTAGCTTCTTGGCCCAGCTCAGTGGAGACCCAGTGGCATTAATGAGTTCTCTCTTATTGGAGATGCTCTAACCGTTACACTACATGGCCTGTCCATCAGACTCAAAGCTTATTCTTGGGGTTTTAGTGCCGTTTTAGCAGAACCGGCTCCCACAACCTTTCACAGCCCCCGGACCTACAAAAGGCGTAACATGCGAAGGGTTTCTGTTTTTCTTGGCATTAAGATACTTAGCAGAGAAATATTCACAGGCTCCTCTCTTTTTGTTTTGAGTATTGGGTTTCTATTCAAGGCGTAGGAACCGAGCCAGCTGAAAAGGTTGAGCAAGCCCAAGCATACGGGGTCATGTGAACCTCCTGGCAAAACGTGGTCCCAAGATTGACAATCCGCATGCCCTTATGCGCATGACCACATAAACCACGGATATACAGCCAAGTTGACAGGTCAAGAGGCTAAAGCAAGCAAGCTCAACAGGAAAGCTGCTTCTGTGGGACCATAGCGTGGCACCCCCTCTTTTTTTCCATTCATGGGAGCCAACCGTCTCCGGCAGTTGAGAAAGTTACTTCTGGAGCTAAGAACTCTTAGAATTCCTCAGCCGGCATGGCCGATTCGGCATGGCTATTGTCCAAAAATGGGCATTTCATCTTCGGCTTTAGAAACAGCCCATCATACTGAAAAGAAGCAGGTGAGGGTTTTTCCCACCGTGTTTTTCCAAGACTGGAAAAAGAAACATCAGCCTCAAGCAAGGCAGAAAGGGCTGGCTGAGGCCAGAGGCCACCCTAGTCTTCCTGAATCCTAGCTTTCCACCGTGGCCAACCAGGGGAGGTCTTGAGAGCCTTCCCCATCATCCATTCAACCGGTCCTTTTCTAAAGCCGTCCACACTGGTGGCCGTTGCAAAATCATCTCTTGAAGAACCACTCAAGAATCTAAGATAGTTGGCTTCCACTGAACAAGACCCCTTGGGTCCTCCTACCCCAATATTGCTAATTCCCATCGCTGCCATCCTTGGGTGTCTCCCATCCAAATTTTAACCAAGTCTGACCCAGCTTAGCTTCCAAGGTTAGACTGGAGCTTATTCAGAATGGTATACAGAATTCCTTTTTAAAATTTCCTTACCTTTTGGTTTCATTGATCATTATCCCCTTTTGGTTCCAGCATTCGGAAAGAGGAAAGAAAAGTTTGCCCTGTCTTTTTTTCCTTCCCGACACATATCCTAGAGACACTTGGACCATAGCTTTTCTTACCTGCCTCTTTCTTAAGCTAAAAAGCCCCGGATTTTTGCAGACTTTTGAACGGTTGGGCAAAGTTTAATGCAGGAAAATTTTAAACCTCTCACTTTAGAATTTCCTGGGAAACAGAAACTGGGGTTTTAAGGAAAACGAAACATCTAAGGAGTGGCTTTGCCAGTTTTCCATCCCTCCTGAATTTCCTTGGCTGAGTGGGGATTTGAACCCAGGTCTCCTGAGTCCCTAATCTGTCACAGGATCCACTATGCACCACTGAGTGTCCTTATGTTCTTGCATCCCAACAATTCCTTAGAGGTTCAGACCTCCAGGACTGGATGCATTATAAGCTTTGACTTCCTTTGTTTGTCTACTGGAGTCTTGCCAGACTCCTCCGATATCTATTTACCCATATCTATCTGTGAACATGTAGCTGTCAGGCCCTGGAGGTCCCTCAATACTGCTTACATTTTTGTAGACACTCACTTAGCTGGGGAGAAGATCAAGGGGGTGGGAGAGGCACATCCCTGCAGCTTTTTGGTGGCCCTGAAGGGCCAGGAGCGAACTAAAGTTTTATCCGACAAAACTTGTTCGGCCAGTTCTTGACTTCCTCCAGTTGGCACGAGATGGCAGAACGCACCTTATAGATTATCTTGAAAGGGGATGGATTCTCCTTTGGGAGTGGGGCGGGGTGGGGGGGGGAAGAGTGTTC